TTTAATGCTCATGTCAGAGCAGACCTGAAAAGTGGAATGGTGTGATTGACAAAAAACTGCCTAACAACCTCAACAATAGCAGCGTGAGATTGTTCGGCTTTGGTACGACAGGATTGTCTGTTATAAATACTTTCTTTAAAGCGTGTACCAGTATATCTGGTATAAGGAAGCTGGTGATCGATTTGATAATCGTATCATTTAACTTACGACGCTCTTTTATGGGTGTGTTTGCGTTAAAGAGGAGCAAAACTCTCAGACTGTCGTCAGTTGTTGTTCGCACCCTCCGCTGCAAACGGTGGAGCATCATGCAAAGACTTGATGGCATAATCAACCAGAGAATCAAGTGGAAAATACTATCTTCTACGGAAACGATGGCGGAATTGGAAAGCAACACTTTACGACATTAGAACTGTGAACGAGCGATGACTGTGAACGCAAAAACAGAGTGGATGCCTTCAAAACCAACCTATTTTCTGGACTGCTGCCAAGTGTTTCGATTAAAACGAGCTGGCCTGCCGCCTGAGAATCAGAAACGAACTTTCTTCGGTTTAGCCGGCTGTTTTTCAGAAGCGGATTGCATTTAGGAGGTTGCTTGAAAGCAAGGACTCTTCAACTCAAATGCAGTATGAAGAAACGTGCAGGGCGGTAATGAAAGCAGTGGCGAAGGCAAAATCTGATTCCTGGAAAATGTCCATGTAATTGCAGCAGGCGATTATCCAGACGACAGAAAGTGTATTCTTACAGAACATTCCCTACCTCTGAGATTTAAAGAAGGGCAGTGTGAGAGTCCTGAAAAACAAGTCCAAAACCAATCTTATCACGAAAGATCGCATGCCTTGGCATTGGGAAGAAAACTTTGAGGAACTTCCTTATTCTGAGCAACCGCAGGAAGTCTTGCCTGAAGATCAGCAGACAACGGATATTAGTCTTTCAGTAGATGAAGTCATAGGGACTATAAAAATCATGAAAATTGTGTGGGCTTCTGGATGCTGATGAAATCTGCCCCGAGACACCTAAAGCTTGAGGTGAACATGGCACACTGTGGCAACACGTGTCTGTTTAATTGCACCGAGCACTTGGAAGATCATGGTGGACTGCAGAAATAGAGTGGATGTTCTAGACGGAAGAAAATAAGGACTGCTCCACATATCAGGACATTACCGTATTGAACCTACCTCAAAAAGTTTATTCAGTGGTGTTAGAACAGAAGTACCGCGGAATAACGGACTCTAAAATGCAAGAAAGGCACTTCGGCTTCAGGTCAGGCCGAAGCACCTTTGACCAGACCTCTGCTTTACGCCTGGTTGTTGATAAATTGTCGAAATTCGCTCACTCGGTTTATATGTGCTTTGTTAATCTAGAGATAACCAATCTCGCAGCAAGCAGTAGAAATGCATGCATACGATGGCCAGTTACTACGATCCATGCCGTCATGGAACATATGTATAAATGGTAGATAATGCGTCAGAAGAAAAAGCGTCAAGTGAAAACCTTTCAGTGTTTTTAATGGTTTCCGCTATGCTGCGTTCTGTCCCGAGACAATTCACCGTCTTCAGTAACAAATTAACCCTTATTGCATGTAATTTTAATATAAATAAACAGGTGTTTCGGCACAGGTAATATAACAGCTCACTTTTAATTTTAAAGCGATCTACTCCACAAGGTTACATAAATAAAACTAATCGTAATTTGCTCAATTCCATGTACTGCATACGAATAAATGTATTTGGTGGGTCTATTTGTTTGTTAGATTGGTCTCGTCACGAAGACTCATGATCAGGAAAGGAACTGTCGATTTTTTTGCAGTTTTTCGATCTTCCATAAAAAGCGATGCCCGTCAACGAATAACAAGCTGTTGACTGCTCTATTTCTATAATGATGACGTTCCAACAGTTTATTCAGTCAAAGAGGATCTTCTGTGAGATCATATTTCTTTAACACACTCAATGATGAACACTGATGCGATATAATTTGTCGAAAAGCATAGTATTTTTCCTGAAATCAATGGTGAGCTCCTCGATCAAGCTGACGTAGACGGTGTTCAAGTGATGTTGACGCAGTGCCTTTATCATTTTCATAAATTCGATATTATGAACGCTTATTGCAGTCAATGAAGGCAGAACAAAGGGGTCAGCCAAAACACAGTTTGTATTCTTCGGATTTGTCCATCAGCTACTTGATGGCATAAAAATGATCTATGGTAGAAACTCCTCTATTAAAACCAGCTCTTTTGTCAACCGAAACCATTTCGAATGCGGTTCAAAATGATGCAGGGAAGAATCTGAGGAGTAATGACAAATTAAAGTGAAATTGATCGATTTTTCTTCAGTTCATTGGAATCGCTTTTATTCATTAGAAGAATTATCCTTTATGTATACTACTACACCTGGAGCGTCATGTTTTACTTGATACACTAATGAGATACTTCGCAAAGGCTTTGAAATAAATTTTTTTCTTTTACTAATTTTTATGTTTTCTCACTGCTCACGTCACTTTGTCCCAAGCGACTTCAGTAAAAGCTTTCCGAGAAGAGGAAAACCTCGTAATCAAACGAGCCTTCATGGAAAGTAGATTACTGCAAGACGTTTTGGAGATTAAAATTCTGTAACCACCTGTAGTTCTTCCTCATCCGTCGTTTACCGCTTCACTCTCATTTAAGACACTTAGTACACTTTACTTCTCCTCAGCTTCTTTGGCTGCATTCTTCTGCAGCCTTCATAAATTTAACTCAATATTTTCCTT